ATGTAAAGAACTTCTTTTAACGCAGGCTAGTCCTACTGTTACTTATGGTTTTTAGGCAAATCAGTTTTCTTTTCCTTTTTTTTTTTTTTCTTCCCTCTGTATATGAAAAACACTGAAACGTGTAGATGGTTCAGAAGTGGTTTTATGGCAGTGAGTTTGGCAGTTCCTCTCTCCAGGGATGTAGAGCTGTGTGGAGTGCATTCACAGTGCTTGTAGAAGGCTGTTGATGGATAAGCACAACACAGGTAGATGTAAATGGGACAGAACTTGAGGGTGTGCTGCCAGCAGATGCCAGTGTTTTTGCTGGGTGGGTTAACTATGACCCTTACCTTCAGTTTGGCTCCTGATCTCTGCAGATTTGGGTGAGAAAATCTGGATTGCTTCATTGGGTCTCTTGGTTGTTTGCAACACAATTCCGAGTGTTCATAGCCACTGTCCTTTTGTTCTTGGTTACTATGTTAAAAACAAACCATCCTAACTAACAACAAAATAACTGGTGGCAAATGACAGATGAGGCATTTTATACATGCATGTATGCATGCTTGTGTGTTTAACAGAAGTCCGGTGGAATATATAGAGAATACTGTGTAGTTCAGGTGCATCTCCTGCTGTTTTCTCGAGGTCCCAGCCAAGTGTCAGTGTCTTGTTAAAACGGCAGGCATTAGCTACGGTGTGAGCCTGGTGCTGTGATGCTGGGGCTTCATCATTTATTTGAAACGAGTGTTAGCTCTGAACAGTGTGAGTTGACTGGCCCTATGTATAGAGTGGTATTTCACCATTCTCAGAGTGCTGTGTGTTTCTGAGAGAAAGCTTGTAAACATCCATAGCTTTGTTTTTGTGGCATTTTATAGGTGGGAACTTGCATGTAAGTTTTGTCTAGACTGGGAGGTTTTCTTGGGACTTTGGAACTAATGCTGATGAAAGAAAATGGTAGTTAAATATTTGAAAAGATCACTGAACTTAGGGAAATAGCAGCAGTTACTGTGTGTAGGTCACACTGAAATTAATGCCTCCTATTTATTTCTATGGAAACCACAACAGATACAAAGAGCACAGCAACACTTGATAGAACACAATAGAACAAAAGCTTAGCTACTATTTTTCAATGTAGTCACCATCATTAGTCAACGTGCACAGATGAGCTGATTGAAACACCCCTTATCTCATGGTGTAACAGCTGTGCACAGCAGAATGAGATTTGCCTTTCCCTTTGCCATTACCATTGCTGAAGCACACTGCTTACCACCTCACAGTGTTCAGATCTGCTGTTTGGTCCCCATAAATGTTCTGCGAGAGTCAATGAACATCAATGGATGCTGTTTTTTCCACATGGGCAAATTCAGTGACACACCTTTGCTTCATGCATATTTCCTTGTCAGATACCATTTGGTCAGACTGTTCCTCTGCTGCCATTGTTGCACTACAACAAAATGGAACAGAATATTGATGGGAAGGTTCAGTTTCCACTGCCATACAGTCAACATCTGCCTCTAATGTCATGGGCCAACATAATAAAATAGGAGGCATTACTTTCAGAGCAACTCTTCTAACTTGAATTACCAGTGCTCTGACAGAGCTGTCTTGTGGTTCATTCTGTTCAGCTGAAGGTGCTTGTGTTTCCTGTAACTCTTGCCTGGTGGACAAGGTACAGCAAGACGTTATGACAAAGGTCTTTGGGATGCCGGTGGAAGAGTTGGTTTATTATTAGCCTGGGAATACATTCTGTAATGCAACTTGAATATCTCTTGCTGATATAAATAATGAAAAACTCAGAAAGATTAAACCAATGGACTCAGCTTATTGCATAACCATTGTTTTGATCTGATACTGCGGGCTGCATGGAACCGAATCCTAAATGTTTGAGTGCCTGTGCTTTTGCTCCTTTCCCTATGGATATAGTTCTGACATGAGAAAGCTAGGCCATTTGAGGGGTCACACCTGGGCTGGAGAACTTAGTGGGTGTTTGTTGTTCTTGGTTTTCCTTTCACGAGCTTGTGTAAACCTTTGTTCACATTCTCAAATCTTTGCTGGTATTGGTAAAATATGCACCTCAAGCCACTGTCAATGCTTAGCTTGCCTACGTGTTTCTTTTTGAAGGCAGCACATAGATTTACTGGCTCTTCCTCACCAAAGTATTGGTAGCTGACCAGATGAGAGTTTCTGGTTACTATAATTCCAACAGATTTTCTCATTTCATCCTTGATAGTGATTTAAAGGAACTTATTTTATTTTGAGCTAATGAATAGGAACAGCCTTGTGATCAGACACAGTATCTCAGGAACTGTGGTGTTTTAAGCCTCTGTTTTCCAGTGAATGTGGAATTCAACCTGTTTCTTTTGTTGACACAGATTTCTTTTTTCACGTTGGGCACCTTTCTAAATAAAACAACAAAAAGCACAGAAATTGTACTTACGAAAGAAAAAGGCGTGATATCCTAGGATGTGTTTTATGGTTAAAAATCGAATACAGCTGAGGCTTGCAGATTGCAGTGGGTTCTTTGTAGGTGGGAATGGTGTCTGCAGGTAATGGAGCAAGTTAGAGATGGCTAACATCCAGGAGATGTGCAAGCAGGTGTTTTCCAAGACAGGTCAGTGACATTCTGGCAAATGATGCATCAGTGTGAGGGGTCAGTTTAGGACTCATAATGCTTATTAGCTTGTACTTGATGCTGGAGACATGGAATTATACTGATTCTATTTCCAGTGCAGATCTACAGGCAGGATCCCTCCTTGAGATATCTCCTCAGAAAGGGAGATAAATGTGACAAGTGCTCTGGCCTCGCAGTTTGTAATGTGTTTTATTGTCTGCATGATCTCAGCCCCCTCTTATCATGACTTTGTTATAGAACCTCACCTATTTTGTTTTTTTTAATTTCATTTTTTTGTCCAGTTTTGGGGGAAAAAAAATAGAAAAAAAAAATAGAAAATGTTTAAAGCCCAAAATACAGGATTGAATTAGTTAGACCTTTGAAGTGACAACGAGAAGGATAACTTCGGTGGCATTTCATAGTGGAGCAGAAATATGTTTCCAGGGGATTTTTTCTGAATAACACTGTGTTTTCATTTGGCTTTTGGTGGACATAAGCATTAATGTCTTTTCACCAAATTGTGATTTAGACAAGACTCAAGTAATGATTTTGTATTAGGAGGCAGAGGGAAAGCAAAGTAATCAGGTATCACAAATCCAAGTACTACTTAGTGCATTTTTTCACTAAAACCATTTTTCTTTTTTTATTAACCGACTTTAAATTGTAGTTGAAAATTCACAAAATGGAAATCTCTATCTTTTGCTTTTATTTCCTTTCATTTTACTTTCATCTTATTACTCTGTAATCGTGCACCACCAGAAAATTCTGTAAGATGCTTTCTTGGCATAGAATTTTACTGTGTTAATTTCCAAGCGTTTCTTCTCATGAGATTTGAATTTTTAATGGTCTCTTATAGCTGTTTGATTCAATAACAGTTTTACCTACTGAATGTAAAGCTTGTGATAGAGTGTTCAATGTGTTCACCTACACGTTGCTTTGGAGTCCGCTCCTGTATAATCTTGATTGGTTTAATGTCCTTATGTTGTTCTAGAAAGGAAAGTCTATTTTTAATAACGCAGGAAAAAAGTGTGTACACGTGGAAAGCAACAAATACTGCCCATCACATAGTAATGTTTTTATACTGTATTAAATATTTCTTCAGTTGAAGGACTGTAATGCGACTTTAAGTTGATATTTAAAATGGTATTAATTATTATTGAAATTAAATTTGACACAGTGGCGATTGGTCCTGACCATAATGACTGTTTTTGGCTTTATTTTTATTTGCCCTAAACTTTGGGAAACTTCTACACATTGATGCAATCTTTTGATCTGTGAAATTTCTAGCTCTCCAGACAGTTCATTATTTTCACTACTCGATACGTTTTACATTGTCTAGCTAATGGATTTTTTTTATCTTCACATAATTTCATTCTCTCCTCCAAGTGATGTCCCAGGAAAAATAGATTTCTGCCAGTCCTGAGACAAGATAATACTTGTAAATATTGTGAATCTCTGCTATTTTTAGTATTGTACAATGAATTAAATTTTAGATGTTTGTTGTAGCAATAGACTTCACTAGTTGTTCTCATGCCCTTTATCTCACTTAGTTTATTTTGTTTGTTTTTTAATGAAGAATTGAATCAAAATTACTAGGAAATGAATGAACAATTTCATTAGATTGTATTTCTGCACAGTTGAAGTCTGCTTCTTAATTGTTAAGTTTCTTTCCCTCCTTTCCTGCCCTCATTCTGGTTTGTTTCCTTGCTAAGATTTTGTAGACAGCTTAGATATTTTTTTTTTCCCTCTTAGGCATTTTTATCCCACTTATCTGATGTGGATGTAGCATATTGCTACATTTACCTTTGGTAGGTAAATAAATATGGAGTATGTTATTTCTGGAGAGGCAGGGGGAATGTACCTTTAAATTTTGGGAAAGGAAAGCTAAGGCTTATTGTTTTTCAGCTAGCAACTTTACAACCTTTAGCATTCAGGTTGCTTTTTAACATTTTTATGACAGTTGTGGAAGTGAAACAATTTTTCTTACAGTTCAGTGTGTTTAGATGCTTCTTGTGATGCTACAGTGTGAATTTCATTATGCTAAATTCTGGTTGTGTAGGCAGCTGAATTTTTCTGTAATATTGCAGATATTAGATACGTTGACACATCAAGTTTTCTTTAAAGGAGAATTCATTTCTGGTGTGCAGTGACGAAGCACATCTATGGATACATACAGTTGTATTTTGCAGTGCCTTATTGGGAGCAACTGTATTTAAGAAAGCTTTAACATTTTCTAACAACCTGTTTAGATGTAGAATAATCTTGATTATTGCTTATTCCAAATAATTTTGGCGGGGCACTGTCTTCTCTATTTTGTTGCTTTTTTAATTCTATAAACGTGGTGAGAATGGTTGTTTTAAAAGAGAGTGAAAATGCACAAATTTTTACCTGTGTAAATCTTTTTTAAAAACAGGCGATCAGCAAAATCTCGAAGCAGAAGTCCGTATTCATCAAGGCACTCAAGATCTCGTAGCAGACACAGGTTGTCTAGATCGAGAAGTCGTCATTCAAGTATTTCTCCCAGTACATTAACTCTGAAGAGTAGCCTGGCTGCTGAGCTGAACAAAAACAAAAAAGCAAGAGCAGCTGAGGCAGCTAAAGCCAGTGCAAAAGCTTCCAACACTTCAACACCAACGAAGGGAAACACTGACACTGCTGCAAGTGCACCTCAGTTGAACAATGTAAAGGACCTGAAGAAAGTAAAAATTGAGCATACGCCTTCTCCTACGAGCAGCGTAAATTTGAAGAATGACAAGGCAAAAGCAAAGGTCTCGCTTCCAGAAACTAAAGGAGAAAATAATCTGATAGCAGACAAAAGTACTAAACAGAAAGCTACAGCAGTAAAAGAGGACAAAGTAACTGTTGTAAAACAGCAACCGGTCACTGTAAAAGAGAAAACCAAACCGAGTACACCGAGCGTAGTAACAAAGGAGAAGGAGCGAATTGTTGCACTACCAGCCTCCACACTGCCACCCTTGCCTTTGCCTCCCACGCTGCCTGAAGATAATGAAACTGATAGGTGAGTTCTGATGTAAATTTGCTTTTTGGGGATTGTCTCTTGGTTTTATTTCTTTATTTCTGCTTTGGAAAACTAATGGTAGCCAAGGTATGTCCAGTTTATGGGTTGCATGCTACCTGACACAGCTCACGGTGCAGCTTATCCACTGCTGCTGCACTCAGCCTGCCTAGGCCAGGCTGTCACTCAGCACCAACAAAACATTGGTGTGCTCTTAACTCTGTCTGGCCTGAAACCAAGGCACAAAGAGGATGAGTACAGCGTTAACTCAAGATACAGCAAGTAATTGTATGCAGCTTGATGCACTGGCTAAACACTATTCTGTGAACAGCAAAATATATGCAGCTGTCCTTTCTGTTATGATAAGGGAATTTGAAAATAAGTTTCAAGGTTGCTAAAAAAAATTATTGTTTCTTTGGTATACTTGTAACTTCATTTTCAATCAGTATAAATATGTGACCTGCAACTTTTCAGATGAAATGTGGGGAGTTCCAATCAGACATTAACCTGAAAAATTTCATCACATCTCTCTACTGAACTTTTATAAGCCCTATCTTAGCAAGAGAAAAGTACCCCTCACTTCACGGTCACACCTTGTTCATCTGATTGCTTTTGGCAGTACACTCATTTGTGAACAACTGTTTTCAAGGATAAGGCACAGGAATAATAAAACTTCATCAAAAATCTTTGACGAACACCTTGAGAACTCACTGAGAACTGCAGCCACTGCCACCAAACCAGACTGAGGCATTATTTTCACAAAAACGAGGTCCAATATCCCACTAGTTTTATGGTTTTGTTCCTTTCCTTTTTAGTTTTAACAAAAACAACAAAAAAATTACTTATACCTGCTAACTATATTGTATAATTTATGGGGCTGCTCCATGAGTAGTTCTTTCTAATTTTTTATGTTGGCCCACAGTGTCAAAGGTGGATGTTGTTGGTATGGCAGTGTAGAGGTTGAAGCTTCTTGCCAATGTGGGCATACTTCTGGGGAAAAGATTAATTCAGTAGCAATATCTGAAAATTTTTCAGTAAGATGGAATTTGACTTAAAGGATCTTTAATTTTTATAGATCTGTTATTTTCAGTTAATTCATTTTGGAGATCACTATTATTTTGAGTATGTATAACTGAGGTGTCATGTTCATAACTTTTAATCTGCGCTGACTTTTGAAGTGTTAGAGATTGGTCTGTAGCAAGGGGACTTGGGTCTGTACCTGAAGTTTAATCTGAATTTAGACTATGCTAAGTTTCTTTTTTGCCCAGACAGAAAACTTGCTGTGGTATGAATTGGAAAATGATGCTATTGAGCTGTCATTTGTTATTTTTATTTTGGTTTTGGTAGTGTGAGAAAAGTTGCTTTTGGTATTACTCGTATTACTGGTCTTATGCTATCCCAGAGATCACCTTCTCACAAGTAAAACAAAATTTCTTAGTACTGACTTAATAACTGATTTAGGTGTGATACATCTTTGTAAGAAATAAAAACTGTAAAAGAGGAATTTGGAACCTTTTAAATATTCATATATTTTGTATCTGTGAAAGTAATGTTTTCTCTTGCACTTGGAGAATTGCACTATTTAATTAGTGCAAGTTGTTAGAACTAGTGGTGAAATATTTCTATTAGCAATTTAATGCAGTGTTAAGTGTAAGAATGCACAGGGCTTGGTGAGTCAGTATTACTTAACGAGATGGTAGTTTTCTTTTTTAGCAGTAAAAGAGAACCTTCAGCACTCTAGCAAATGTCATTCCAGTTATTCAGAATCACACCTATGTGGTGAATGTACAGTTGCATTTGACTTTGACAGAGCCATCCTCCATGGATAAACGGGTTTGCTGACACTTATTTGAGAGATCTACTGTTTTAACAGGCTTTGTTTGCAGGGTTAAATGTGATAACATGAAATGTGGTTCTATCCTGAAGCTGTCTCATCACTTTGCATTATTAGTATTTTTTAATTTAATGTCTGTTTTAAGTATACCTAAACAGTTCTATTAGCACTGGGCTCATTTTCTTAAAATAAAACACAAAAAAACAAAACAGAAAAAAACCCCCACGTAATACTTGCAAACAAACTGCATCAGAAAGATTAGTGACAGGAAATAGAATGTCTTTTATGCTTCGCTTTGTTTCACTTTTGGGATGCAATCTTAATCATTCTGATGTGAAGTCTGTAACAAGTCAGGTTAAACCACGAGTCGTTACAGGAAAATGATCCATGATTTCTGGGAGAAAGAAGGACCAAGGTTCATTGTATTCAGATGCTGTAGGAAATTGTGCCAACACAGAAAGCTTGGTACTGCACAGCACTTGCTGGCTCCTAATGTAGTGTCAGTTGATGTTCAGTAGGAATCTGGTAAAACCACAAACAAGCTACCTAAAGAAACAGTGGTGTTAGGAAACCAATGACAAGGTTAGCTGAAAGGGAAGACTGTTCTTGTAGCCAGCAGTGTGTGATTTAACAAACCTGAAAAAGGCTGCTCTTGGCTGCCTCTGTTTTCACATACTGCTTTTAAAACTTGTTTCAGAACTTCTCATATATTGCACTTCAACTAATACTGAAAGTTTGAGGGCGGAATTGTGAGAGAAATGCAAATACTTGAACTTCAAAATTGAGGTCTTCATTATGATGACTGCTTGCTGTGTTCATGCTAACGTGAACAGAACAATGAGGACAGTACATGGGTTCCTTGAGGTGCCTCTTTGAATTGAGGCAGTGGCAGCTTGATAGGTGGTCTAAGATTCTCGAGGCTTCTGATTTTATAGTGAAGCACAGACATAGGCAAAAATGCTGGAATGCTATATTAAATGTATAAAATTTGCTCATTGCAATTAATTTATGAACAAATATGTGCATTCTCCATGGTAGAAGATAGCATGGTCTTTCCATTTATAGAAGTTCCTACTTTATCTATGAAACTGGGTTTCATAGATAGAAAGTTGCAGGAAAACCTCCTTTCCAGAAGAGTTTTTTTTAAAAGTGATGTTGAGAATAGAACAGTGATGATTTTTGCAGATGTCACTAACTTGGGAAACGTACACTCAGAGCATTTTGAGAGTCCTATCAGAGAGAAAACAATGTCATTACTTAAACAATGATCACGGGTTTAGTTATTTGTTATATCTGCAAAAATGCAGCTGAAGGAAGAAGTCTGGACAAAACAGAACCATGAGTTTAAAAGATTATCCTGCAGGAAGCATTGCATGTTCAGAATTTCCCCCTTACAGTGTGAAGAGCATCTCTAGAATAAAGATACATTTCTGTGTGTTTTGGGGATTCTTCTCAAGACAGATTGTCACTGTCTGTTCCCTAAAAATAAAATAAAATTTAAAAAAGGATTAATGATTTAAAATAATAAATAAAAATGCTAATTACCCATGGCAGAAGGAATTTTTCACTTGATTTGTATTCTGTTAACTAGAAACACATAGAAACTGGAGTGTGTCTGCAAATCTGTGAGATTGGAATCTGTAAGTAGCATGGTATGGACTGCCTTTCAATGCCTTACAGTAGCTGTAACAATGAAGTTAGTTATCTCTGAAAATCAAAACTGAAGTGAATTAGATTAGAATAATCTTTTATATGTGATGTCAGTCCGACTACAGATTTAATTGCTATACTTGTGGTATCTGGCAGCACCTGAGCTCTAAACAATACTAGTCTGGGCCCTAAGTGTTTGGGGGATTGGGGGAGGAGGAGTAGTTTAGATGAATGGCAGAAGCCTAACCTGAAGCCCAGGTAGGTTTGTTCTGGCTGTTAGGGCTTGCTATCACAGAATCATAGAATTCTTCAGGTTGGAAAAGACCTTAATGATCATCAAGTCCAACCACAATCCAACTATACTACCCTAGCTCTAACAACCCTCTGCTAAATCACATCCCTGAGCACCACATCCAAATGGTTTTTAAACACATCCAGGGAT